AACGGGCTCTTTTCCAGTTTCCCCCCTTTCAAAATACCGAATTTTATGTTTGTTTTACGTGTTATTACGGCTAAACGCGTAATGTTTGAAATATGAAGAACAAATCTGTTCACAGTTGTCGATTTGTTCACCATGCCAAATTTCATTGCATTATGACAACGTTAAATAAGCTTTTCAAATTTGAATTTGAAAGGGGGGGAACTGGAAAAGAGCCGAAAAACGATATCTAGCTACAGAGTTATATAATTTTACAAAAACAAGTCTAAATCATATGGTAGATAAACATTATACCCTTTTGGCCCGTTGGCTCTTTTCCAGTTCCCCTCCTTTCAAATTCAAATTTGAAAAGCTTATTTAACGTTGTCATAATGCAATGAAATTTGGCATGGTGAACAAATCGACAACTGTGAACAGATTTGTTCTTCATATTTTACAGCGTAACATTACGCGTTTAGCCGTAATAATACGTAAAACAAACATAAAATTCGGTATTTTGAAAGGGGCGAAACTGGAAAAGAGCCGGCCCGTTTTCACCTGTCTCATTATGAGTGTAAACGTATAATTATCTCATGTGTTGCATTAGTTTTCTCGCCCTAGCGTCAAGCGAGTTTTTGAGTTTTTAAAAATTGTCTCTCCTAATAAACGTTTGGCTCTTCTATTAATTAGCTCTCGCCTAAAATCATTCCTCCCTCTTTTTTCCGCTATGAGATTTCTCTAAAAATCAATTTGGCCGCGTTCAATTCCGCTTCGTTTTTTTGAATGGGTTTCGCTTATTTTCCTCACTTTCGCTTTCCGCCTTAATGGTTTTCGCAGGTGTGTCATGCTTGAAAACATTACTGGATATCAATCATCGGGACCAGCTTCACCTCCCCTCCGAACAGTTGGGCGATGGGGAGAGAACTTTCACTTGGTTCTAATTGGGAGTTTTCAGCCAATCAGAATCAATCATTTTACAAAAACTGAGCGCTTAAATAAATTGATCCAACTTTATTCCATGTTAACTTGGTTTATCTGCGGCTTTGAGTTTAGGCGGCTAATAAAGGTTTTTCATTACTTTTTGGCTCATAAAAGTTTTCCATTACTGGTTACCGGTGCTTAACAGGATGTTATTTTGCTTAGCTTGGCAAGATCACATGTAACCAGCGCCTATTAAGCTATGACTTATTACAAGAGCTCATCTTGCAAATTACAGCGCACGTGCTATTTGAACATGCAAACATGTGGTTGCTGGGCACCACCACTACCGGAGCACCACGATGACACAATTTTAAAAATTTGAAGGCTTGAGGCAAAAGAATTAAATCAAGAGATAATATCCCTTTGCACATATCCGGTTTAACAAAAGTATTGGAATGTTTCAATAAAAATCGGTCGTTTTTTACTATGGGTGTAATCAGGGCGGATTCAAGGGGAGGGCATATACAACTTTTCCCTCTCACAGATTGGACCCATCGGGTTTGTTTTACTACAATCAATTTCGGTTGACATTTGGCGCCAATTTATACTTATTTTTAGAAGAAAAGCGCGCTCAAAAATGTATTTTTTTGGTCAAAACTTTCCAAAAAAAAACTAAAAACGGCATGTTTGGCATTTTTTTCAAAATTTTGCTTGCGGCATAGAAAATTGTTTCAAAATAAGGTCTCTATTGTGTTTCAAAAGAGCTCGGAAAGAGATTGACTGGAATCGACCAGGGCGTAACTGTATATTCTGCGTAACCGAGTGGTAAAAGAGTCAGAGAGGTGACATCATGTCATGGTTGATGATCTAGTTCGGAGTTTCGCATTAAATTTGAGGGAACAACATTTGTCTTTTGTGTTTGATTCGTTGAACTGAGGTAGATTTGAACCGTGTGTAATTGCTGGTAGACCAATCGATGGCCCTTTGATCTGCGCCTTTGATCATTCAAGAGCTGATTGTAGCGAGCTTTCTTACTGCTTCGTCGCCTGGAGTATTTTTCAAAATATACAAGTCAATTATGTATGTCTTGCATTCAGGCTTCGTCTTCTAGTTGAAGCTATTGGATCTACGTAATAATCTCCATCCCTTTCAAGAAGGGGGGGGGGAGAGATTGTTAAGTAGATCAAAATGGTCGATTTTTCGACCAATCAGAATGCAGCAAAATTAGAATTCTCAATAGAAAGCTCAGTGATAACTTACTGTATTTATTTATAGGGGTGATTATTCTTAAGTAGGTACCATAGGGAAGAAGATTATTGAGAAGATCCAAGCTATTCTTTGAGCTACACTTAATCACAGAACATTAAAAAATGGCTGCAATTTAAATGATTAGTTGAGTATTAGTAATGTTTTTTGTGAGCTTCGTTCGCTGAAATTCTGCGATTGTTTTTGATAGTATTTAAAAGCAAACAAGACTGCTCGTATCAGGGCGAAGCCCTGAATTTTCCGACTGCCTTTTAAGATTTATGGAGCTGTAATAACAAAAAAAAATTAAATGTAAAAGATAAAAAGATTTTTTTTTCTAAAAATTGAGACTTTTTTGTGAAAACCATACTCCCACACGCCATATAAAGTACAACGTGATAGATTTCGCTCCTTGTAACAAATCAATTATGGTAAATAAGCTTTTTTCAATCAATTTGGAAAGATTTCTAACACGGATTAAATCTCCGCTTACGCGTCAATAGTGCGAAATATGTCGCGCGTTAATTGTCCCAACTTGGCCAAAATGGCAATCTTTAAACCACCATAACTTTATGATAAATAATCACAGGTAAAATATTTTTTCAAATTTGAGCTCAGGACAACAATACCTTTCGGCTGATAAAAAAAATTCCGTCAACAATTCTTAGTTAAAAAGTCAAAATTTGTCTGAAGAAAAAACCCACGCCGAGCACAAATATTCCGTAACTTTTGTTAGGAAAGATGAACAATTAATATGTGATCGACTGCGGCATTATGTAACGACGGTTCTTACTGATAACGAAATTTCAAAAGTGTTCCCCCAGTTTTGAAACAATTGGGTCGGTTACGTAGCAGTATTTAGACAACTGCGTATTCCTACTCGTCAATAAGCAGACAAATACTGTATTAACCAATCAGAACAGAATCGAGACAAGGAAGAAATTAATAATTGATTATTGTTTATTTCGTAAGTTTGCTTTACCATCTCGATTCTGATTGGTTAATTTAGCATTTGTCTGCTTACTGACTAGTATGAATACACGGTTGCCTAAAAACAGACTGCACTCCAAATGGGTCTAAAAATTGAGCTTCTAGACTTAGTTACTGCAGAAGTATGATCTGATTCATTTCCAAGGTTAATCATAAAAAAGTTTCACTTGAAAAAATGCTAACCGTATTAATGCCATTTAGACTCAATGATTTGAACTTACTCTCAGTCATTCGCTTAGCCCAAAAAAGCAAATGAACTATCAAAAATAATATTTCGAAATCAGAAAAAAAAATTGATTTTTGTTTCGACTTTCGATACGAAAGTAACGAAATATTTCTTCTTGGGGTGGTGTTTTTTCTTCAGACAAAATTCGAGTGTTTAACTAGCCGTTTTTGATTGATTTTTTTAAATATCATTCAAAAGGTGTTTTTGTCAAGAGCTCAAATTTGAAAAGATATTTCACCTGTGATCATTTTTCGTAAAGTTATGGGGGTTTAAATATTGCCATTTTGGCCAATTTGGGACAACTAACGCGCGATATAATTCGCGCTATTAACGCGTAAGCGGAGAGTTAACCCGTCTTAGAAACTGTTCCAAATTGGTTGAAAGAAGCTCATTAGCCATGGTTGATTTGTTACAAGGAGCGAAATCTATCCTTTTGTACTTTATATGGCGCGTAAGGGGATGATTTTGATAAAAAAATTTCAAATTTTAGAAAAAAAATTTCATTTTGTTTAATTACATTAATTTTTTAATGTTATTACTGCTCCATAAACCTCAAAAGGCAGTCATAACATTCAGGGTTTTGCCCTGATACAAGCAGTCTTTTATTTCTTTGTTTATATTGCCGCCAAAACCCGACTTTTCAATTAAGCTAGGAATTGTTGGTCAAAATTGGTTTCGTAAAATGGAGTTCAGATTTTCCTCGGAAACAAAAACAGTTCAGCGATGGGACCAAGTTGTTATCCCCCCCCCCCAATCCGGTTTAGGGGGAGACTAATGCCAACTTGGTTATGAGGTCGATTTTTCAGCCAATCAGAATAGAGCATTTTCACGCAGCCCTTATCAATTTAATTTGAATTGGACGCTGGGGTGGAGGATCTTTACTTAGTCTATTTGGGGGGGGGGGGGGAGGGGGAGTAGGATGTTAACTTGATCCCAGCGATGACTGATTGAAATATTCTGCGAAATTTTTGAATTTGCAAATTTTTATCTGATTTTTTAAAGCCCGTGTAACTTGCCATGAACAGATGACCGAAACAAGGGAAGATGTGGTCGAAATAATTTGTGCTATTCATCAGGGGCGGATTAATGATTTTCTCGGCGGGAGAGAGGGGAATTTTTGTCGACATGTTTCTAAGTCAACCAGCGTACCGAGGGGGATAATCAAATTGGTCGACCTAAAATAAAAGGTCCGCAAAGTTTTCAGTTTTTTCGAAAAACCGCCCCTTAAAAAAATTTCTGCACACGCCACTGCAGTTGACCACATGTATTTTCTGAGCTCTCCCAAATCACTAAAGCTCTACCTATTTTGACAAAATTTTGTGCGCCGCTTTTAAATTTTTGAAAAAGCGTTTTTAGGCACTTTTTGGAAAATTTCGATCAAAAATTGCGTTTTTCGGTGCGCGCTTCCCCATAAAAATTGATATATAATGACTCCAAAGATGCCTTTAGAAAAAAATTATAGATTCGGTCAGCCAAAAATGGATATCCTAAAAAAGTACCGAAATGGGCACCATTTTGGGTCGGCAGGGGGTCGAATCCCTGAGGGAGGAGATTCCCCGCCCCGTTCGTCTAAATCCGCCCTTGCGATTCACATAGAACACTGAAATAATTGTTTCACTGTACTACTATGTGTTGTTATCAGGTTGACTTTGCGAGTGTGGGCTTCGAAGTGACCGGTGGGGGAGTGAATCCAGTCGTGGGTTCCAGTATGGCCGCCTATGGCCACATGGTCCCTATGGCAACATCCCTCAATGCATTCTCAGCATCCATCTCCCTCCAGTATCCCAAGTCGGAATTGGTTGACCTCAAGCCCAAACTGGTCATGGAAGAGAGGTGAACTAATTATTCCATTTATTGGAACCATGTACTTTTCTCCACTTGAAATCAAGTGATATAGGCTAACCCTAACTACAACCCCCCTGAAAATTATAGCCCCCTCCCATAATCGTAAAATCACAGTGTAGGGAACTAATATGTTTTTATCATTAGGCAGGAGGATGTTATCGGAAAGATCAATTTGCTTATTCCGATCACAGAATGTGAGAAGTAGTTTTTAATTTGACCAGTTTTATTTTTCGCGCAAACTTAGACAAGACCGCTCGTATCAGGGCGAAGCCCTGAATGTTCCGACTGCATTTTAAGGTTCATTGAGCAGTAATAACATGGAACAAATTAAATGTAATGAAATGAAATGAAAATCATCCCCCCACACGCCATTTAAAGTACAAAGTGATAGATTTCGCTCCCATTAACAAATCAATATGGCAAATAAGCTTCCTTTAATCAATTTGGGACGATTTCTAAGACGGATTAAATCTCCGCTTACGCGTTAAGAGCGCTAAAGATATCGCGCGTTAATTGTCCCAAATTGGTGAAAATGGCCATCTTTAAACCCCCATAGCTTTACGAAAAATGATCACAGCTGAAATATTTTGCCAAATTTAAGCTCAGGATAACAATGCCTTCTGAATGATTTAGAACAATTCCGTCAAAAATGGCTAGTTAAAAAGTCGAAATTTAATTTAAGAAAAAAACTCACCCCGAATACAAATATTCTGTGACTTTCGTTGCGAAAGTCGGAGCAGCAAAACTTCTCGTTCAAGACAAAGCTCTGAATGACATAACTACTTTTTTTAATCCAGGCCTCTATATTGATCGGTTACAAAACAAGACTGCTCGTATCAAAGCGAAGCTCTGAAAGTTTTGACTGCTTTTTAATGTCTATGGATTAGTGTTCGCTTTCAAAAAAAAATGATGAAGACTAGACAAAAAACAGATTTTTTTTGCAAATCATCTCCCACTCGTTGTTTAAACACCGAAATGATTTTTTTTCTACGATGTTACGAAGTTCTTAATATACTAAATAGCTTCCATCAGTTCAATTTGGAGCAATTAATAACACGCAGTGATTTCTAATCAATGGAACGATTTCACTTTAGATTGTTTTCTAACATCCGCTTACTCGTTAATATCACGATTTATATCGCGCATTAATTGTCCCGAATTGGCCTAATTGGCAATCTTTAAACCCCCACAACTTTACGAACAAATTTTACGTTGGTGAAATAATTTTTTAAAAAAGAACTCAGGACCATAATATCTTTCGGCTGATATGAAATTTTCCGTTTAAAAAATGCTAGTTAAAAAGTCGAAAACTTTCTGGAGAAAAAAGGCACAAAAAGCACTCTTAATCCGTTATTTTCTTCAAAACTGACGGAAGTAATATACAAATGATGATCATCCGAAAAAGAAAGAAAACTTCGTTATCACTTAAAAAGTGAAAAAAATTTCACAGTTTATCAGAGTTTGCACTCACTATTCAATAGGAGCTGCGGTAGGGTGCGCAGAAATTTTTTCTGGGAGAGCGGTTTTTCGAAAAAACTGTAAGTTTTGCTGACCTTTTTTTTAGGTCGACCAATTTCATTTCCCGAGCTCTACCAAATTAGTATAAGAACCCTATTTTGTGAAAAATTTTCCAAAAAACATGCCAAAAAAGAGCTTTTGTCTCGTTTTGGAAAGTTTTAACCAAAAAGTTGCCTTTTTCGGGCGCACGCTAACCCATCAAAATTAATCATCTTGGCACCAAAGGCGTTTTTAGAACAATTTTAGGTTGTAAGCGAAAAATTGATGCCGTAAAATTACGCCAAAGGGGGGGCTATTTGGAAAAATTTGAAAACCAGAGTTAAAGGAGAGGGCGGTCGGCAAACAAACCACCCTTGACCCGCTCCCCTCGGCACGCTACTGAGGAGCAGCTAAAAGGAGCAACGAATACAATTTTTAACGGTTTTGTGACCAAAAGTTTCAAGAAAAAACTCGTTTTCATCTCAGGAATTGGCGAACAAAAAAATGGACAAAATAATATATAATTTTGATCAATTTTTTGGCAAAAAAAGTAATACCGTTTTTTGCTTCAAATGAAAATATATCTTCATATCCGTCATGATCAATAGCTAATGCCATAACAAAATTATTTTAATGCCTTGTTTAAATTTCAAATCATAATTAAACACGAATGACTGGTGGTTTGCGCATGAAGCAAATAAAGTTCCGAGCTAATTTTGCAAAAACTAACTTGAAAAAAAAAAACATTTTTTTTTTCAAATTCTTTCGTTTTTTTTTGGCAAGATAACCATATGGTACTTCAGAACATGTTGCCTGTTGCTGTATAAACACTTTTAGCACTTCAGCTGAGAAATACCTAAAATGAAGTGCTAGTCGTCTCTCTAACTTCGCTTAAAAGAGAAACATTTTCAGACCGATTGAATAACTATCGAAAGGATTTGAATGTGATACGTCAATTGGCGCAAGTTTACGCATACTGCGAAAGCTTTTTTTTTGAAAAAAAAAACATATTTCCGGAGCACTGTTTTCTTTGCTTAATAGCCGGTTGTTTGGTTATTTTTCGAAATTTCGAAGAAAGTGGGGAATAATTATGCTTCGGGTTGGTTTTTTTATTCAATCAGACTTTGACTTCTTAACTAAACATTTTTGACGGTACTTTTTAAATAACATCTGAGAGATAGTGTTGTTTTGAGCTCAAATTTTTAATGATATTTCTTCTGCGCTCAGTTCTTAGAAAGTTACGGGGGTTTGAAAATTGCTAATTTAGTCAATTTGGTATTAATTAACGCGCGATATAATGCGCGTTCTTATAAACACGCGTAAGCGACGGTTTAGTGCCTTCCAAATTGCATTCAGGCAAGTCATTATGTCGTATTATTAGGATACAAGACGCTTAATACATCCTTTTGTTGCTTACATTAGTGTGTAGGGGATTAAATGAAAACAAAAAAAAAGTGTTTCTTTTTTTTCGGTTATTCCTTCAATTTTTCAATCAAAAATTTTTAAATTGGCTTTAATGTGCGGTCAAAACATCCAGGGCATCTCCCGATTCTTAGAGCGGTCTTCTTGTCTTTGTGAAATTGTTCAATAGGCTAGTATTTTGATCGGCTCAAACAAATATTTGATGTTTTTTATATTGTTATTAGCGATCGATTGCAAGACATGGTCAAAAATATTATATGTGGTCAAGTAATTGTCTCAAAAAAACTTCAAATTGTTTCAGGAATTTTTATTGGCATTGTTTTATTATTGAGCATGAATTAGATTGTATGAAGTGCTATCAGTTATTAATATTTGATCTACTAATAATTGATACCACTTCATATATTCTAACTGATGCTCAATAATGAACAATGCCAAAAATGGTTCCTGATTAATTTCTTTTTTATAAATAATTAATAATAATAGTTAAACTCGTCAACTGGTACTTGATGTACCAGTTGACGAATTGTACTGAATAAAAATGAAATTTGATTGAAAACGACTTGGATTTTTAGGGTGCTAACTAAAATGTTTGCTACGGTTTGTCATTTTATCCGACCTATAAACAGCGGTGAGGGGAGTCAGTATTTTAAACTAAACACGGAAGCACACCAAAGAAAGAGCATTTTTTCACATGTTAGAGCAAGAGATCTAATTAAAAACCACCAATCTTTAAAAAAAAAATCAGCAAAGTGAGTGAGCTCTCCAACATACCTGCTCATAATTAATATTTTTGTGGGTATTTATTAGATAATTTATTCTCCGAGCTATTCAGTTAGCAATATTTAAAGGTGAACTCTGCGACACTACAACTTGATAGTTTGCAGTGGTTTTGTGTGTATTGTTGAGGTCTTAATTTATTGAAGATGGTATCATATGCCATAGACCGAAACTATACATACATTAGGGGGGGGGGGGGGGGGTTTGGGGTTTAATGGGAAAGGCACTATACTATAATGCCTTATTTTGTTTCTGTTCCAGGGGCTCTTGCTGCGCACCTGACTTAGTGACCTTTACCATTCAGGAGGTGGATTTTCGGACCAACAAAGCCACCGCCACCTTCACCCCCCTCAGTTTCCTATATGGGGGCGAGAGCAGGTGAAATATTTATCAAAGACGGGCCATTAGTCTCATTATTTATCAATGGTCAATTTGAACTGATCTCAAGCTATTCGTATTTTCTGACTTACGAAAATGTTGAGACGCTTTCATTTTTTGTTCAAATTTCTATCACACTGTTTCAATTGATATAGTTCTGACCATGACGCACTCGTGAAGAATTTTCGAATATTTTTTTGACCCAGGCCTCCTCAAACTCCTCAGAAAAATCAAATGGTGTCGGACTTTTTTGATGAACCGAGTTATTGATAATCATTGTTTGAAGCAGAATTTTCAGTGCCTTCCTGGAAACAAAGTTGAAAAACTCAAACTACGATTTTTTTGTGGTCTTGTTATTCTTGCTGAATAATCAATTCGCTTATTTAGCAGGGCAAGACTTGAAACTTCAACCTTTGTAAATATAAATTTTTGTTTCAAATCATTTTAACGCCATTATTGTAACTTAATTTAGGGTGAGAATAGCAATCACAGGCACTGTAGCACGTCCGTTTAGCTCTGAGAAGTTCCGAGTGAATCTATTTGTGGAAGGGGACACCTGTAATGCTTGTGATGCTACTGCATACTTCACAACTGAAGACTCTTTCATTTATGACGTAAGTTGGGTTCTCTTTCATTTGATACCGTTAATTGGAAGGTCCTAGATTCTTCACTTGAAATTTTTTTTAAATGGTAAAAGTAAGCATTTTGATCTCATTTTTTTCCTCGAAAGTTTAGTAGCTTCCAATTGAAGGTTCCTAAATGATTGTAAGCTGTTCTTGTAAATGTTTGCTAAGCTCATCGTGAACGGCTTTCAAGGATGGCTTAAAAAATAGTATTTAAGTCGCTCGTTATTTCAGCCGACATACTTTCCAGAGGTGCATTTCGGAACCCTAGACAGACTCCGCGGACTGTACTTGGCCGATACTGAGATCTACCAGTCGGGGTCCGGCTCATTCGACATGGTCGCAACTTTTCCTGAAGATGCTCCGGCGCACGAGTTGACAGGGTTCCAAGTTGGATTCGTTCTGGACTCCGCTTCGAGTGTGGCTCGACACATGCATCTGGCCAGAGCCTATTTGACTCATGTGGGGGATAACTTTCCAATGTTACAGGACTTACGAGACTCGGTTCAAGTGGAATACATTATGTAAGCTGAAAAATAAGTTCTGGGACTTGTAATTTGTTCATTTTATGTTTCGTATGACGAAGCTTTAAATGAGCATCAAAAAACGAGTGAATAAAATTTACCTATTGTGATTACTAGGCCCGAAAACAGGTCTTTCTCGATGGGTTGGGGAGAGGGCGTTTATCGAAAATATTTTTGAAGTTTTTTATTTTCTGATTATTGATTTTTTGATATCTTTCCAAATTTATCAGGGATTTTTTTCTAATTGCCGGAACAATTCAGTGGCGCAGACCGTTTTTATATGGAAAAAATGAAAAAAATGGCACTTTTGAAAAGTGTTCGGACCGTTCTTTCTAAAATTTCTTGTAAATGGCGCAAAAGGCTCTTAAGAAATTTTTGTAGACAAGTAGACTAAAAACGAATGTCTTAAATTAGTGCCAAAAGGTGATCCCGTGGGTGGTCAGGGGCCCAATCCATGAGGGAAAAGAAGGTCTCCTCGCCCATTCTAAATCCGCGGCTGGTTATTACCAACTTTTGGATCAAATTACGTTGAATGAATTTTTTTTTCAAGTTTTGCAAGTTTTTCAAGTTTTTTTTTCAAAATTGGTGCATGTAGTCTGATTTTAACTGCTGCATCATATGGTATGAAAAACGAGCTTGATTTTTTTGCCCTTCCAATCCGAAAAATTTTGTAGACTTAACTCACTCACTCACAGACCACTGCATTTGTTGTTCCGACCATTGAAAATGGGAGGAACTTTGTATTCGGGCTCGGGCGTGTTTTTTTTTGTTCCGGCCTTTTGAAAAATAGGGAGCAACTTTGTATTCGGGTGAGCCTTACTTCTTTTTTGTTTTTGTTTTCCACGCAAAATCGGCAACCACAAACAATCATCGGGCTGGGTTGAATGGCATATCATAATACAGCCCTTTCATTCTTGATTCGAACCACATTAAACAATTGCCAAAATTTTCTTCTTGTGCCGAAAAAAAAACGGGTTGAAATTTTTGATTTTTCGTCTTAATTCGAGCAACTAAAGGTAGCGAGCAGGGTTACAACACCTGAAATGCCTAATTTATGTCTAATTTAAGAGCTTGTCTAATTTAAGCAAGTAAAACCAGTTTTTGGAGTTTCTAAGCTTCATTTTGGGAACCAAAAATTTCAAAAAGTTCAAAAATTTCAGCAAAAGTTTTGAAATTTTTTTTTCAACTTTCTTTGTTAGTTTTTTTCTACAAAAATTGTTGTTCAATTTGCTTATATTACTATGACTGTCTAATATGCCTAAATTATATTTTTACGTCAGACCCTTTTATCACACCCAGCAGAAAAAAACTACACTAATTTGGAAAAAAACTTTCTAAACCGTAGTTTTCTAAAAACATTGTCGGAACATTCTGTGCTACTTGCACAGTAATCGGCTATCCTTGTTTTTTTTTGCCTTTTGTTTTCCACGCAATATCAGGCACCCCAAATAATCATCGGACTGAGTTGAGTGATATATCATATTAAAGCCCTTTCAGTCGTGATTCGAACCACGTTAAAAAATACCCAAAATTTTTTTCTAATTTCGAGAAGAGCCGGTTTATTAGCAGAAAAAACTACACTAATTTGGAAAAAAAACTTTCTAAGCTGTGGTTTTCTAGAGACTATAGCCGGAACATTCTTTGCTACTTGCATAGTAACCGGCTATCATTGTTTACAAATGGTAATAGTTATAAGTTATTTATAACTGTTTAATCTAGTAAAAATCTAGTAAATCTAGTTTAATAAATGAATCTAGTGAGACAGTACCCGACCACCTTCCGTTCACCATCTCCTCCCTCTCATTCAAACTGCCCTTGAGTTTCACCTACCTGCCCCTGAACAGACTGGATGTGATGGACAGACGCCTCGTCTTCTCCATCTCCTTCTTCCTACCCTCATCCCCACTTCTCAACTACTTCTGGAAGGTAATTTTGCAAACTACGATGTGTTCAGTCCAGGGCGGAGTTAGGACTTTCTCGGGGGGGGGGGGGGGGTTCAAAAAAATTTGTAGGTCAACTAAATTGTTTTTTTTTCGAACTTCAGTCCATGAGTTATCTATGAAACATAGATGCATATTACTTGCATTGAAACTCAGAAATGTTTTTTTTTTTAAATCTTTCAATTTTTAGCATCCATGAATAGTTTAATGCACAGTATGTTTTTAACGTTGTTCTTTCTAGGATACATCTATGAAAAAATGCTAGATTGGTGACTAATTTGATGAATCATAGCTGAAACATAGATACTTCTAAATTTTACATTCATTTATACTGCAAAGAAAGTGATACATGCATAGAAAAAGTATAATCATCTATGTTTCGAACGAAGTCATGATTCATCAATGGATCGCCAATGTTGCGTCTATTTGTAATTACACGACTCATCGGCTAAATATCTTTAAAATACCACAGTACCAAAATTTTTTAAAAAAATTTTGGATGCAAAAACTTGCAAGCTTTATCAGACGTTTCTGAATTGCAACGAGACTTCAACCGTGAATCACAGTTCTAAGACAAGAAAAAGGATCAGGCTTAATCTTTACCCTAACCACAAGGATACCCAAAAAACCGTTTTTGATTCTCGCTCTGAGTCGTCTGAAAACAGGTTTAATTTAGTCTTATGGCGCTGTCTCAAGTGACGTTTTTGTAAAAAGAATTTTGGATTTGCAATTAAGAGTTTGTAATGACTTCACTTGGAAACAATTTATTATGGATATTATTGCTAATTTTAAGGCAAAATTAATTTTTCGAGATTCTTTATCTTAACTGTTAAATAATCTGTATAGATGGAACTTTGTAGCCAGTTTGCCTTCTGTTCAGGAGACTATTTTGGGTCACGTGTCGATGGAGGAGTTCCGGGAGGATGTGGTGGCCTCGGCTGTGTCGGCCGTGTTAGACCTCGCAATGCAAGACGTCAAAAATTACTCTGGCGGAAATCAGGTATGTACACTTTTAGCTCTTCTCCCCCTCCCTGCAACCATCTTTCATTTTCAATTTGGGGGACAGTGGTGAAGTGGTTACGGTGGTTCGAAAGGTCAGAGGTTCGAGGGCTCTTAAAGGTCAGATTTTCGGGGCCCACCATGATCCGTGCTCGTTGCTTGAGGATGAGACAGCTTCAATTAACAATTACAGCCTATTTCTAATTTTTTTGAGACTGCATAAAGCACAAGTAACTGTCTTTGCATGTGTAAATCTATAATCATCTCAAAATTTAGAAACACATTATACAAAATATACGTGTTTCAGGATACGTTAACCACTCCACTAAATGGAGCCATCTTCCGAGCCTCTTCTTGGCCAGTTGACGATCTGATTGAGACGACTGCCAGCCCACTCACATACGAGACGAAATTCACAGTAGCCGAAGAGAAAGTAATCGTATTTCACGCTTTCGTAACTCCTGCTACACATTTCAATGAATACGCGCTTCGGATATCCATAAATGATCAAGAGACAGGTCCTAAAGGAACAGGAAGCCCCCCTTCGTTTGAAATTGAGGGGAGTTGGAAGATAGCGGACCATTACGTGGACAGCGGGCCTAATGTGAACATGTTCTATGACAGCAGTTTCGAAATGTACAGATTTGGAAGTAAAGGTACTGGACAATGTTTTTATCGGACACATTCTTTCATTACAGTCTGGAAAACATTTCTGTCGCTAAAAAAGACTAGTAAGCCAGAGGGTAAATTTTTTTGCTTTACTACGATATCCTTTTCGGGGGCAAATTTTTCAACAAAGAGCACAGGCCGAAATAAAAAACGCTAATTTCTCGTGAAATACTTCCAAAACTTGCTCTAAAACGTCATTTTTGGCTTATGTTTTTAAAAAAACTCTTTGCGATGCCGAATTTTCTTTTGGGTAAAACAGGATTTTTTTAGATAGAACTTGGAGTTTAGGTAGAGTTTAGTTAGAGCTCAGAAAATCAATTTGATCGAATAAAAAAATTAGGATTTTTTTTGAAAAACTACCATCTGCCTTCAAAAATTCCTGCCCACGCAATTACAGCACAGATCACACTGATGAATCTCAAGCTAAAGATCAAATGCTGATCGAAAAATGAAGGTTTTAACGTCACTTCATTTCCGAACCTCAATTAGAAAGCCATTCTCAAAAACGCTTTTCTGTTATCTTGGTTTGACCTCCACGCAAAAATCGTACAATTCCATGCGTAGAGTCTATAGAAAAAAGCTAATCATACATTTAGCATACTTTTTAAATAACTTTTCAACAAAATTTTTGTCTATTTGACAGCCTTGAAGTTCTTTGCCATTGGAAGATGTTTGATCACGCCAATTTTATACTTTTTTTTTTCGAAAAGTTTTCTATGGAAGTGTATAGAATTGTATGACAAGCATTTTTCGATAGTTTTGAATTGTATATGATGAACATTTTGGTCAACCCGTGATGTTTTTTTTGCAGATCTGTTCAAGAACGAAAACCGGGAAGACTACGAGATCAAAGTTTTCGTCCATCTTCTGGGTAGTAGTGGGCCCACCTTGAATGTGGATGAGAATCTAGTGTGTAAGTGGGAATTGATGGAAACCCCGGGTGGAAGTGTGGTTCAAGTAGATCAAGTCACTGTTGTGGTTAAAGGGAGAGATGATTGGGGTGCTGAGTCACACACGCACCCTGTGAGTTCACGGTTTTTATCCGATAGTTGTCAATTATGATCAGTGTCCCTGAGAATCGCAGAGAATCTATAAATAGGCCTGAAATGTTTTATCTAAGGATAGTCCTTTTTTGTATTATTTCAAATATTTGGTTAAAACTAGCAATTATTCAACGTTTCTCATTGTTTCGTCCTGGCAGATTAAATGATTTGAAAGACGTGAAAACGCAATCAAGTCATTGGTTAATATTTCATTACTTTTCGAAGATGCTTATGATGAGTTATCATAAGTTATGAATGTTGCAGTGATGGCAGACCTTTTCAGCAACTCACTTGTCAGTAAACTATGTCACTAGACTTCATAGGAGCTAAAGGTGCTAACGCACAGTTTCAAGCAAAGCTTTGATACAGGGGAACAGGGGGTGGATCTAGATTTTCTCGAGATGGGGGCGGATTCTTAAAAAGAAAATTGAGAATTTTGGTGACGTTTTTTTTAGATCGACCAATTTTATTTTCTGAGCTCATTTAAAACACAATGAAGATCCTGTTTTGACAAAATTTTCTGTGCCGCTGACAAATTTCCAATTTTTTTGGGCTCTTTTTGGAAGGTTTTGTCGCGCGCACCCCCTCAAAATTTGTATAAACTGATGCCAAACGCGGCTTTAGAAAAATTTTACGGTCGGTCGGCTCAAAGTGGATGTCGTAAATTCATAGCAAAGAGGGAACCCTTTTTAGGGTGAGGAGGTCGAATCACTCCCCCACCCCTAAATCCGCCCCTGCTTTGATATGACCATTCTTTGGCTGATGATTCATTGTTTTCTCACAAACTTCATATCTTGCATAATTTTGGTTCCAGTTCCTGCTCTCTGAAACATACGACGCTTCCTGGGGGTTCTCTCTGACCCGGAACCCTTCAGCAGAAGGACACCTTGCCTTCTCTCCCGTACCTGGAGGATCCTTCTACCGTCTCCTTGACCTTGTAGTGCCTCCCCAGACTCTGGGCCACTTTGCTCTACAGCTGGAGTTGAACTCATTTTCTGGAACTGACCAGATGGCTGGTCTGTTGGGTATGGAGGTAGTCCAGGCAGGCAGCTGGATATCCAGGGGCTTCAACAGATCATACGTGCAATTGCAGGACGCAAATACTGCTATGTAAAATTAACTTGTTTAAAACCAAGAAATTGAAACCATGAATTTAAACACATTGCCAAAAAAAATTATACTTGGGTTTTTTGTTTGACATAAATAAATCAAAAATTTAGTCCAATAAAAAAGAAAAAATAATCGACTGGTTGTCTTAAAACTCGTTTTTTTTCGCGTTTTTTCTTGTGAAAAAATGACCCCATTGCAAAGTTGCAAGCTGCACAATTTCAAGGTATGTTTTTGTTTCAGCAATATCATTGGCAACTCGCAGTACATGGTTAATCTAGTGTATGACTTGGGCTTCATTCAAAACCTTTATCCAAACAAAGATAACTTCACTTCAGACGCAAAGACGCAGCCAGATGCACACAACATAGTGAGACCAAGGAGTTATATAAAATACCGGAGTTTTTGCATCTCTAGTCACAAGAATCTCCTCCCAAGCAGAAGAAATTATAGCCATTCAACTTTTTCCGTTCTTATGAGATATAACTTGATAAAACATCAAAAAATTTGACTTGTTTGCCATTTTTGGCAAATACAAAAAGACATATATCAATATTAATCAGCTCATAGGGAAAAACAACGGAATGTTGAAGTTGTTGGTTAACGTTTGTGTTTGAATAACCCGGGTTGACCTCCATACACCGAAAATGCTTATCATACAATTCCATACATCAAGTGTGTGGGAAAATGCTTGTCATACAATTTTCATACAATTTCTAAAAATGGTTGAAAACTGGTATTAACTCATTTCTGTGGCTGTTTGATTCTTTTCTTATATCAATTGTGAAAGACAGCCAATTTCAGGTCGTTTGCTATGCATTGTAAATGCAAGACCGTCCAGCCTTTGGTGTTTTGAGTAACCAAGGTCTTTGTCACTTGTGTTCGGTTGCAACTACAACCGAAAATTTTTCAGAAACAAAATTTAGAAAGAAAAAATCAAAATTTTTTGTTTATGGGAAAACATCTATCATACAATTTTCATATATGGAAAAATGCTTATCATAGAGTTTTCATACAATTTTCTGTACGTATGGAATTGTATGAAATTGTATGACAAGAAGTTTCTCATATATGGAAATTGTATGATAAGAAGTTTTGTTCAACCCGGGAAGTCGATATCTTTGAGCTTGTTTGATCAGCTGCTCCGTTTTTTTGTTCAGGTGCAGCTGGCAGTCATTGTTCACATTGGTCAAAATATGACAGTTGGCGACACTTTCTCACTCAGTGCAAAACTCCTGAACAAAATCAACAGGTTAATCTTCTTAAAATATAAAAACACCACTGAAATACCAACACTGAGTTAAAAAGAAATAAAATTTTGATTGTGTTGAAAAAAAAACAGCTTCTTTTCTATATTGAATAGAAGCCGCTTTTTCACTTAGAAAAGCGTCTCGAAGTCCACTGGACTTCGAATAGACACACATTCACAGGTATCTTTTTAAATTGAAGGCCAAACTGAAACAATTAAAATGCACAATCACGACAAAGCTAGATGCTCAATGTAACAATTATTCATTGATGAGGCTGTACATATGTATGGCACATTAAACAAAAACGGATCTACTTAACAATCTCCGTCCTTTCAAGAAAGAGGGAGGGGGGAGAGATTCTTCAGTTGGTACAATAGGGGGGGGGGGGATTGTTAAATAGGTCCCCAGGGATCAACTTAACAATCTCCCACCTTTCTTGAACGGGTGGGAGATTCTTTAGTAGGTACAATAGGGGGGGAGGGGGGGAGAGATTGTTAAGAGTAGGTACAATAGGGGGGGGGGGGAGATTACAGCCCCCCCCCCCCCCCCGCAAAGTAACAAAATTTTCAATTGTTTTCCAACGTGTTTTTGGATTTTCACTACGAAATGGTATGATAAAAGCTACATAAAAAAACTGAAAGTATGGGTTTAGAAATTTTTAAAATACATTGTGCGACTGATCGATAAAAAGGCCTAATTTTAATATTAAAAAACTTGAGACGTAACCAAGACCGGCATAGGTGTAAATAGCTATGTCCTCAACATTGTTAATTTTCTATGATATTTTTTGTTGCTTTTATTTCCACGAACAAATATCTAAAACACTGCATTGCTCAAAATTGCTCCAAAACTAGTCGAGTTTGCGGAATCCGCAAAATAATTTGCGGAATCCGGAAAAATTTGTCGAACAAACAAACCATCATATGCCTGTAGTAAAATTACCCTGTTATGGAATCCGCAACTGTAAGCAAAATCCGCAAACTGGAACAGAAATCCGCAAAATGAAAACGGAATCCTTAAATTGTATGCTGAATCCGCATTTTGTCTGCTTATTTCTAACGCTACCAACAGTTCTATGAAAGTGACCAGCTCTTAATAGCTTGACCTTCACTCAATTCATTCTCAAACACTACCACCTTCTCAAACAAATATCAATTACAGTAACTTTTTTCTAAGTCAATTAAGAGATTAAGTTACTGTTATCCGAGATTCAGAATCTAATTCGACTTTTAATCCAAGAGAAAAACTCCACGACGAATCCCAACTACTGTAATATTATCATTCTAAGTGGGAAATTTGATTAATTTAAGCAAAGTTCATTTACTAATCCAAATGTCAATCCAAAATAGTAGATTAGAAGAGATGAAATCCAGAACAGCCTAAAATTAAATTCTTATAGGCTGATAAATGCAATTTGATTACCAGTTTAAAATTTCCCGATTGCAATGAGATTCTGTTTCTCATGCTAATCTCGAAATATGATCCTAAAAGTTGATCTCAAGTTAATATCACTGGTAAATGAAAAAGACTTTCCGGGAATTATCCCAAATAACACATTGTAAAGTCAGCTTTTGGGATTCTGCTGTTCACACTTATCCCAAATTATGATCTCAAAAATTGATCCAAAATTAAGATCCCTAATGACTTTCGATACGAAAATAATGGAATATTTGTACTCGGGGTGGGTTTTTTTTTCTTCAGACAAATTTCGACTTTTTAGCTAGCCATTTTTGACGGAATTTTTAAAAATCATTCAGAAGGTATTGTTGTCCTGAGCTTAAATTTGAAAAGATATTTCACCTGTGATCATTTTTCGTAAAGTTATGAGGGTTTAAATATTGCCATTTTGACCAATTTGGGACAATTAACGCGCGATATATTTCGCGCTATTAACGCGTATGCGAAGCTTTATTCCGTTTTAGAAATCGTTCCAAATTGGTTGAAAGAAGATTATTTGCCATAATTGATTTGTTAAAATGAGCGAAATCTGTTCTTTTGTACTTTATATGGCGTGTGGGGTGATGATTTCTTAAAAAAATCTTCATTTTTAGAGTTTTTTTTTCATTTTCTTTTTATTATGTTAATTTTTTTATGTTAATACTGATTCATAAACCATAAGAGGCAGTCGGAACATTCAGGGCTTCGCCCTGATACGAGCAGTCTTGTTATATTGAAAAATAGTTAAAAAATACCCAGGAACTACAAGTGCACTTACACAAGTGTATTGAAGCAAAAAAATTATGATTTTATTGTTTCGACTTTCGATACGAAAGTAACGGAATATTTGTGCTCGGGGTGGGTTTTTTTCTTCAGACAAATTTCGACTTTTTAACTAGCCATTTTTGACGGAATTTTTATATAATTCGAAAGGTATTGTTGTCCTGAGCCTAATTTTGAAACTATATTTTACCTGTGATCATTTTTCGTAAAGTTATGGGGGTTTAAAGAATGCCATTTTGGCCAATTTGGGACAATTAACGCGCGATATATTTCGCGCTATTAACGCGTAAGCGGAGATTTAATCCGTTTTAGAAATCGTTCCAAATTGGTTGAAAGAAGCTTATTTGCCATAATTAGTTTGTTACAAGGAGCGACATCTATTTTTTGTAGTTTATATGGCGCGTGGGGGGATGATTTTCATAGAAAAAAATTTCACATAAAAAAATTCATTTTTCTATTACATTTATTTTTTCAATGATATTTATGTTATTACTGCTCCATAAACCTTAAAAGGCAGTCGGAACATTCAGGGCTTTGCCCTGATACGAGTGGTCTTGTTGGATTTAACTGACAATGAGTAAGTGCTTGATATTATTTTTTGCAGTTGCTAGATATATATTCTAGCTATAGTTCTTAGTTGTTCATTCATGAGCTGGACTAGTTCAATGTACTAAGCAAATTGATGAATTCGATTACATTTGCGGATATCACAAACAATTTTGAGGAATTTGCTTACATTTGCGAAATCTGCTTACGACTTGCGGAATCCACTTACCTTTGCGGAATCCGAATTAGTTAGCTATATTAGCTCGTTGAGGAATTTGCGACAAATCTAATGTGCCTTGGAAAATAAATTACAGGTATTCGTGCAGGGATTCCACGGAAAGCATTTACAACTTGGAACAAGTTTAAAGACTTGCTTCTAAATTCCAGTGTTCTTCAGATACTAAAAAGTGCAGCAATTTAGTTCACAATTTTGGCCTCTTAATGTGGATGCCCTTTATTAGGTGCTTAAATTTGCAAACGCAAAACTCTAATTCTCGGGAACTCGAATTTGTACCTTTAAAATGCTTTTTTTTACCCTGTCATGCTTTGGGGTTCACATTTCATTGGGTTCGCATCTTTTTCGTGTCAGCTTTCATGTTTAATAGCTGTTATTCACGGCCTTTTCGCTCTCACTGTTTAATGCCAAATATTTTAGTTTATATGGTTTAACGAACAGAAAACTTAACCAGGATAGCTGGTTATTGTGCAAGTAGCACAGAAAGTTCCTGTCACACTATTAGAAAACATCTCAAAACAGTTTGTTTATTCAAATTGTGTCGTTTGCATTCACAGTGCGATGAGATGATCTGAATGAAAACCTAGACCCTAGGAAAATTATTAGCAAAAAAATTAGGTAGATTCGCCAGCAGTTTTTGTCAATCAAAGACTTGAAATGATATAAAAAACCAACCAAAATTAAAAAAAATACATTTTCTTAAGTTTTTTTTGCAGAAAGTAGTTATGATTTTTTGTTTTTATAGAAGAAACCTCGACTACCCTCAAAACGTTCCAACCACTCAAAAAGTGGAAAGGAACAAAGGACTTATTTTTTCTAGCCCCTTTTGATTACTTGAAGGAAAATATCTGAAAAGTGAAGTATCACATCATATCAAAACCTTGTTTGTCGTGATTTGGATTCAAATAAAATAGTTTCAAACATTTCTCAGTGCTGCACAAAAAAGACAAAATTTGCTCCGGCTGATCTCCCAAATAAAATTTGACTTTTATAGAGTTTTAACGCTATACTTTAACTTTTTTAAAATTTAGATACCACTCTTTCTAGCTTGTTCCACTTATTTGCTCGTATTTCTTAAAAAACTTAACCGAAAATTTTGACAACAAAATTAGCAAAAACAATTTCATATAATTTTCACTTTTTAAAATTTTTCTTTAAATTTGAAATTATATTGTTAAATTAATATAATGAACCTACCGTGCTCTTTGCACAGCAACTGGCCAATATAATTCTAATTTGATTTCACTTTGACAAAAACCAAAGTTTTTCGCAACAAAAAAGATTTTATAATAAAAATCTGATGTTAGACCCCGGAATACTTAGATCCATTTACTTTGCCCTCAAAATTGATTTCTGAAAAGCAGAAATTTTATCCCCCTAAATCTGTTGGGGGGGGGGGGGGGGGGGGGGGTGTACGGCTGATCCTAGCCTCGCAATAATGAGCTGAAATGAACTTCCACTTCGCCTCATTGTTCAAAAATACTTACACTAATTTACTGTTTGGACCAATTATTTTGTAATGAGACGAAATAATTGGTCTGCCAGCGTTTCATTAGTTCCCGCAAATTAAACAAATTAGTAGATGAAATTGTATATGGGGGAAATTTTTTGAAATAAAGTGGAACTAAAGTATGCATTAATTAGCATAAATTGGCAATAATCAAGCACTAGTCTTTTTGGAAAAAAGCTCCCAGCGGACACCATTTACATTTCCAAGAATGAACAGAGATGATTATTATATATAGCAGTAGCGGATGAGGGGGGGGGGGGTTAATGCCCTTTGCTTTCAGGAACTCGAAATGCTGACTGCTCAAAAGGTTCGCATCTGCTACTTTTTCCAACATGCATAATAATTGGCTGCAAACTTAAGTTTTTCTAAGGGCACCGTAAGAACCAGTACAAAACCAATTTGAGAGGGGAGCTTATGTAAATCTATTTAAAGTTACCCAGACACGTTTTTGAAAATTTTATTTTTTCTATGAAAAAAATGACTATTTTATA